CCCGCCACTGGCTTCTTGCTCCATTTCTGACTTGTTTAGAGCCTCTCAGGGAGTGTGTTAGAGAGACAGGGAGAAGGAGGTGAGTCAGTGTGTCTGGTTGGGTTGTGTAAAACCTGCAGTGAAAGCTACCCCACCCCCGCTAGGCAGTGGTGTTAGGGCTTTCCTTTGTGTTAGTGCTTCTTTTGAGGAATTTTGTGCGTCTTCCGAAACCAAAAAGTGTCAGGGAAGTGGTCTGCCTTTTTTTTTTTGTTCTGTTTTGTTTTGTTTGCAAGAATAGGGCAGTTTGTTGCATGTATTGTCACTTGAATTGTTCTACGTGAAGATATTTTAGCTTAATTATGATGCTTATTGCATTTGAACAGATATCTGGAAACATGGCTACTGAACATGTTAATGGGAATGGTACTGAAGAGCCTATGGATACTTCTGCTGCAGTTACCCATTCTGAGCATTTCCAGACATTGCTTGATGCTGGTTTACCACAGAAAGTTGCTGAAAAACTAGATGAAATTTACGTTGCAGGTAAGATGTAAAACTTGCAAAACCACACTTGCAATACTTTATTGGATTCTGCTGTCTTTGGGCTAAAATAGCAACTTTTTGTGGTTTCCAAAAGTATGGGAACTGCAGTCTTACCAAAATCTCTGGATGTTTTCCGTTCAGTGCTTTAATTTGTAGTAATATTTTTCAGAGAAAATTCTTGGGTCAGGCCACTTGGGCTGAGGGGTGGGAAGGAGGAAAAGTGTGTAGGTGACCATAGCAACAGCTGGAATAGGCAGCAGGTGATTTTTAGGAGGAGTAGATGATGTGGTCTTTGTGCTTTTTTTTGCAGTAGTTTTAGGTGTCTAGGTAACTGAAGCCTTGTTATTCATCTTCTCATGTAAATGCTACTTCGTGACGTAGTATTTGGGCTCATGGATGCAAAGGTTATTGTACTGCTTTTCTCGGACACGGTCATAGCTAGCATTTTTAAGCTTGTTTTTTGGATTGTGGTGGTCACACAGGTACCATTGCTAGGCAATGTAAGTCAGATTCCGATAGATCCTTCTGAGTGCAGCTTCAGGATATTGGAAATAAACTTGTCTCCTGTAACATCTGGGTCTCAGAAGTCAAAAGAATACATAAATTTAGTTATGGTTACTCTGAATCTTTTTCTTGACACTTTTGGAGAAAAAAAGCTTAAATACACTTAAATATTTACCCTTATGATTTCTTACCTTACCCTTATGATTTTTTACCTTTATGATTTCTTAGGTATGGTAACTTGTATTAATCAGTGGTTGATTTAGGGGTCACTGAAATGTATTGGATGTGTTAAATGTGGTAAAACAAAGGTTGCTGCCCAAATATAATTAGTAATTTTTTTTCTTTTCTCTAGGGCTAGTAGCACACAGTGATCTAGATGAAAGAGCTATTGAAGCTTTAAAGGAATTTAATGAAGAAGGTGCATTGGCAGTGCTTCAGCAGTTTAAAGACAGTGATCTCTCACATGTTCAGGTAATGTTAAGCAATTTAAAATATAATCATTGAGGGATAAACTGCTAGTGGACTGGCAAGAGGTTTGCTTGAGTCTCTTTAGTGATCCATACGTGATATGTAAAGTGGGCCCTGTATTTGTTCAAGGTACAACTAGATTTTGGCATCTCATGTTTTCAGAACTGAAGGTTAATGTATCTTTTGCAGAACAAAAGTGCCTTTTTATGTGGAGTCATGAAAACATACAGGCAGAGGGAAAAACAGGGGACCAAGGTCGCAGATTCTAGCAAAGGACCAGATGAGGCAAAAATTAAGGTATGTGCCTAAAAAATAAAAGTTACGCAGTCTGTCTGTGGCTTTTCAAAGCTGTTGCGACAGGTACCTTGATTCTTTTGGAACTGTACTTTCTTAAAAAGGCTATTTTAGATTGTCATTATTTGAAAGCTGTCGCTTGCATTTTTATCCTACACTTCATCCTTTTCAGGAGGAAACTTAATACACTGTTAATTGCTGGAAGTGAATGTTTTCAAAAGTGAAAGATTTGACAGTTTGCTTTATGTCTAGTTGAGATAGTTCTACTATTTCATGGTTGAAAGTTTTCGGAAACTTCTCAGCATGGATTTTTGAGTTCAGAATGTGTAACTTCAGGTGTTGGTAATTGTGTTTTTTTTTTTTTTTTTTTTTTTTCTTCCCCCTTCAGCTTAAGTTTAGGTACTGCAATAGGGAGGAGATACCAGGTGTGTCTGAAAAGACTGATAGTAATTGTTTTAGGATTGAGCCCACTTTTTTTGACATAATCACTGTTGTTGTAAACTGTAGCCCAAATTGTCTTAGTAATGAACATGTTATTTCTTGGACTGAGTCTTCTGTGAGCAAGAGAATCCTGTCTCAAAAGTTAGGCATACTATGATTTATTTTAAAAGTCTGTGATGAGCAACTTTACCAACGCTTAAGGAAAGGAAAACCATCTAAGCATGCTTGGTTGATGTCTTAAACAGCAAGAGAATCTTTAACATTTTAACTTTTAATGTGTAGACTGCAAAATGAGTGTGTTACATATTATAAATAACTGTGTACCTTGTGAATAAGAAAACCTTTTTTCTCCTTTGAGGCTGGGTTGCCGTTAATTATAAATTCAAAAAAACTGGTACATTTTTTGTCACAAAACAATATGAGGACTTAGTTAACTAGCTTAAAGTAGCATAGCTTTTACTGCTGATGACCATAGCATTTAAAGTATCTTTGCAATTTTCCAGTTGTGAAATTGCAAACTTGATTATAATTAGTCTTGTTTAATACACCGTTTCTTTGTGTGTAGAGTTGATTTGTCTTTGTACAAAATTATTAAGAAAGACTAATTTCAGAGGAGTTTCTCATTAGATGTTTGCATACTGAATTTCGTCTGTCATTTTAAATTAGTAGTATATCTGTGACCATATGCAGTGATCCCAGTGAGGATCAGTTGTGCTGGGATGTTGTATGTGCCCACAAGGAACTTGAGGGTGAGGGGGAAGGACAGGAGAAAGGAAGCAGTACTACCACTTCAGTGGTGGGATACCTGAAGGAGTCAGTGTAGTGTTCCAGGGGTGTAAGCACTTAAACATGTGCTCTTTAACTTCACACTTATGAGTAATCTCATTAAGTGAAGGGAACTCCTGTGCATAAATGTTTGCAGGATTGGACTTGCCAAAACAAGAAGTGGCTCAGACTAAGATCTTTCTAATTAAAGGGAAGCTCACTATTCAGTTTCTTGTCCCTTTTTTTTTTTGTATGAAAATGAAGGAATTGGGAGAACTTTATATGAATCTCTAATATTCTGTCAGTGTTTCTTTACCTGATAGCTCTAATGGTTGTTTTGCAAGTTTTTTGTTGAAGTACTAGCAGTAGGCTTGTTTGCCTGTGGGAGTTTCAAAGCAGTACAGTTTAGGAGGAATTATAAGCATGTCTGTGTATGAAGTGCATCTAAACTAGCTCAATTTGTCCCTGATTTTAAAATTTTAAGTTTCTTACTTGAAGGCACTCTTGGAGAGAACCGGCTACACTCTTGATGTGACTACAGGACAGAGAAAGTATGGTGGACCCCCTCCAGAGTCTGTATATTCAGGACAACAGCCTTCTGTTGGTACAGAGGTAATGAGACATTTATGTAGATATATTCTTATTCATTGGAAGTATTTTTTTATAAACAACACTTTGTATGTCTTTTGTAGATATTTGTGGGCAAGATTCCAAGAGACTTGTTTGAAGATGAACTTGTTCCATTGTTTGAGAAAGCTGGCCCTATATGGGATCTCCGCTTAATGATGGATCCACTGACTGGTCTAAATAGAGGATATGCTTTTGTCACTTTTTGTACTAAAGAGGCAGCTCAGGAAGCTGTTAAACTGGTAAGTTTTCTTACTTGGGTTTTTTTTTAAGAACACTCTCTGGCTTGTAAGCAGTTGTTCTGATCTTAATGCTTAAGTGCTTAAGATGAAACTGTAATTGTTAGGTCACTTCATAAATGTCCACAGGGTTTTTTAAAATATTTCCAGATTGCTTAAATTTTTACTGGCTGTGTTAGGGACAGGGAAGAAGAAAGTCAATGGACTGCTGTTTGGTCCAGTTAGATGAGCCTTTATCATTAACAAAAGTTGTTTTATCAGTAATGACTTCAGAGCTGTCTGAATCTAGATGAGTTTTGGAGAGAAGTGGTGTTTGGGTTGCTGTGGTACACAGGAAGTGTTGTCTGTGATTTCTGATTAGCTTGTGCACCAGCAGGGGGGCCTGTGCTGGAAAAATGCTTCTGAAGTCGCAGGCTTTTGTAAGGTACTTCACGTGGGAAATAATCAGTCTTGAGTGTTAAGGTCTGTTCTGTTTGCTGCAACTGACTGGGAAAAGTCATAAATCTTGCCAGGTTAAGAAACATTCTTTGTTTTACACAGAGGTGTGAAATAGTTTGATATAAGGAGTAGGCTACTCTGGATAGGCTCTCCAGGTTTTATGCATCAAGTATCCATCACTAAAAAAGAGGGGAGAAAGAAACACCACCCTGATCCTCACACTGCTCCTTTGTTTTCCTAGTTAAGTTGAATTTGAATTTTTTGATCTTGTTACTGCTACATTGATGTGGCTGAGATCAGTGTGTAGGTATGACCCCCCCCCCAGGGGGCTAACCATACTCGTTCTGAGGTGTACTGATACTGTATTATTAATACAGTAGGGACAGAATCTCTGTTTTGTAGTAAGGTACATCTTAAACCATTAAGGTGCCTTATTGAGTTATTTATAATGTAAGTCAGTTGGTGGAGACAAGCCAAGCTGAAGATAGGAATGTGTTTTGAAAAAGTATAGAAATGTCTACAAAAGTGGAAGTACAAAAATACATGGTGTATGCTGTTTAGATTTAAGAATAGTTGGTGTTCCTGTGTTCAGTCCAAATATACTGAGGATGACTGTGTGTATCTTTTTGCACTTTCCTTGTCAACCTAGCTATTTATATTTTGTATGAACTGTTAAGAGTTATGCACATGACTTAGCAAAACAGTGAATCAAATCAAAAAGGTTCTCGGAAGCACCTAGTAAACAAACAAAAAGGAATTTTTTTTTTTTACTTACCTGGATTTTCCTTAAAAGCAGCATGCTCTGAAAAGTCATTCATGTTGTGTTTCCATTGAAGTAACATCAGATCCTAGCCCCAGTCTTCCACTAAATGATACAAGGGAAGGAGCTACGTGGTGTCCCTTTGTGTCTGATCTTTGATAATCAGGAAAAAAAAAATTGTTGTGTTCTGTTTTTCAGTTAAATAGTCACGGAGTATAATTGTCGACAAGTGTTGAGATTGAGGCAGTTTTTCAGCCTTCATTCTAATCTCTTTGAGGGCAGGGTTAGTTTTAAGTTGGATCCTGTGGCATTTGTCAGCTTTTGAATGATTCCAACCATAGTTGGCTGGCTAGTTTGGTGTATTATAAGTTTACCAAGTTGTCTAGGAGTGGTTTGCAGGGGTATTAGCAAATATGGCTGTAGAGCTCAGTTGAAAACCTTGGGTCTATCAGTTGTGTTAGTTACACGTGCATGGAGAGGCTGCTGAAAGACCTCTTAGAAAAGCTGAACCCTTGGTCCTAGCTGTTTTAATATCCTAGTATTTTAAGAGGTGGTGCTCTTTTTCATACTACCTATAATCTTCTGATGTGTATACAACTTATTTCGCACCTTTCTGGACTCCTGGGATAGGGATTCTTATGCTATTTCCCATCTTCCTGGAGGTGCTTTTTTTTTTTTTTCCCTTCAGGACACTGTGCAGGACACTGTGAAGTATAGCAAAATGAGAACAAAAATCTCTGTATTGCCTGTAGGCTTCTGAGTAGCAAGAGACAGCTATGAGGTTTTGTTAATACCCAAACAAGCAGAGAATAAATGGACCTGTCTTCCAGCTCCTGCAGTTGGTGTAACATATTTTGCATACAATTCATATTTGCCTGGCTATGGTATCATCCACAGTCTTTGAAACAACTTCATGTAAAACAGAACTAAAGGTTTTAGATAAACTTAATGTTGACTTACACTGTTCATTAACCAGCAGAAATCTTGCAGTTTAAAAGGCTGAAGCCTTGATTTTGCTATGCAAATGCATTTTTAAGCCACTTTGAAAAAGGGAGAATTCCCTAGAACTTCATGTGAAACAGAACTAAAGGTAACTTAATGTTGACTTACACTGTTCATTAACCAGCAGAAATCTTGCAGTTTAAAAGGCTGAAGCCTTGATTTTGCTATGCAAATGCATTTTTAAGCCACTTTGAAAAAGGGAGAATTCCCTAGATTGTGTTTGAAATACCTTTGGGGCTGTGCTTGAGACAAAAATGGAGTGATGCTCTAGGCTGGTACTAGAAGACTTACAGATATGAACAGTAGTTAATTTTATGTCCAGTACTTAATCCAGTGTGGTTAACCCTTTCTTGTTAAGTAGAAGTGGAGTCTCGGGTGTTGTTCACACAAGCACTGACTATCAGAAGTCTGATTTGTGTTTTTTTTTTTTGTTTTTTTTTTTTTTTAAACCCCAGGCATTTTTTTCCCAGTTAGTATGTTGGCATTTATGTTCTGTTTCACACCGAGTTATAATTCGTAACTCCAGTTGTGTGTTTGTTTGCACTGGTGTTCTGTTCTCCCTCCTATTTCATATGAAGTTGTTAGATTTCAGTTTTTCAGGAGATTTCTGAGTGGTTAAGGTTCCCCTAGACCCGTACAGGATAAATATTTGTGAGGTGAAGCTGGTATTTCTGAATGTACGGGAAATTATAGTAGCATATGGTGCATTTTTGACTAGAGCAAGTGTAAGCTTGATCAAAGTGCAGGTACAGGTGACTTATGCAGATGTGTCTTTTAAGCAGTTTGTGAGCTATGCTTAGCAGTACAACTTGCCATTTGCTGCTGGAAATAAACTAAAATTGCTGGTGAAAGCCTAAAGTGATAAAGTGACAAGACAGACCTTATGTGTACTCTGACCTGTTTGTGAGTAGGTTCTTAGAGAATTTAGGAAAAAAAAAATCTATTATAGTGTCTAGAGAGTAGTCGTATCTCTGTTACTAACTTCGGGCATTGATTCGGTGGTGACAGGAGGGGGAAGCAGTGTGCTGACATAGCTAATTTGGTAGCCTAGCTGTTCTGGCACTTCACCCAGATCATGATTTGGGCCTGTTTGTGTCTAATCGAAGTTTACAGATGGTGTGCAAACTATTTACCTAAAACCCACCAACTTTATATTCAAGAGCACCTAATACAAGACTGTTCTGTCTGTGTTAAGAGAAACATATGATGAAAAATAGTAGTTAATGTATTGTACTATGAAAACACTACTAGAAACTACTGTCAATGTGTAATTGCAATATGGGAGAGTATTTTAATTTTTCATAAGTTATGAAATATTATTTTGTTGCTATGAGTTGTATGAGGCTCTTTTTGGATTAAATGTGTAGCTAAGCTTTGGTCTTAGACTTCAACCTGTTGCCCATGTAGAACAGAATAGAATGTTTTGATTGGAAGGGACCTACAACGATCACCTAGTCCAACTGCCTGACCACTTCAGAGATGACCAAAAGTTAAAGCATATTATTAAGGGCACTGTCCAAATACCTCTTGAACACTGACAGACTTGGGACATCGACCGCCTCTCTAGGAAGCCTGTTTGACCACCCTCTCCGTGAAAAAATGCTGCCTAATGTAAAGAAAGGCTTCCTAATGCAGACTTCAGTTAATGAAGAATCGGTTTGTGTCTTGTTTCCAGACTAATAAGTTGTCAACTTTTTTAAAGGTGTTTCTTTAAAGGATTTTTTTTGAGCTACTCCAATCTGTCTCTTCATTAATGCGTATAAGTCTGTTTATTAGTGATGATAAATATAACATTTTCTATGCAGCTGTTTCCTACTTTTAAAATCAATTATTCCTCTCCCACATGGGCAACAGATATGGAGATAGAAGGGTTTTACTGCATCCTGCCGTGTTTGAGACATAATTAGTTGGGAAGGTGCCACTCCAGATCCTTTTCACATGTACAGTTCTCCTTTTAGCTCACTTTTGGTACAGTTGTCTATCTTTGAAAGTTTACAGTGATACAGTTTTTGTTTGCAAGAGATTAATGCAAATCAACATCTTCACTCTGATTTTAGTGCACAAAGCAAGAAGGGGTGTAGGAGAACTTCCTTATGCAGGAAGGTTTACTCCCAAACACAAAGTAACTCATAGAATAAATAGCTAGATTAAATTTTAAAAAGCTGTCCTACTACTTGTCAATAAGGTGTTGACCACAAAATACATTTTCCTAGCTAAAGAGCTGTCTGTTACAGGGCTTCCAGTTGGAAAGGGGTTGATGTACCACCAGTTGACCTCCCTGCTGCTTTATTTGGATGATGCATGTCTGTGTCTGCATCTCAATGGAGGGCATTTTTTGTCAACAGATACTTTTATTTTTTTCTTAAACTGCTGGCTTGTTCAGGGTGTCTTCTAAGCAATCTGTTTTGGGAGAAGCATTTGAGCAGAAGTCTTAGGATTTTCAAGTTGGTACAAGGTTCTTCTTGATGTTTACTGTCTTTACATGTGTAGTCTGTGTGCTTTGGAAAGTGTTTCCCAATTGCTCTTGAACATTTTGTGGAGAAGACCTGATCACAGCTCTCTTTCTTTTGTTAACTGTGGAACTTTAGAAGGTAATCTGACTTGAATTGTAATTCCTGCCTTGTATTAAGAATTTAAGAATTCATAAACTAAACCTATAGAGGAGCTTGCATTTTTTTTTTCCTGCACTGTTGTGCTGGGAGAAGCCTTGGCGACTTGGACATAAGATTTACCTTTCATGGTCCTACATTAAAAAGTCTCTAAAGAAACGTATATTAAGAAAGAGGCTTGAACAAGAAGAGAAGGATAACTGTTGGCTGAAATTGCAGAGATACCTTAGGGAATGTGGGTGTACTTCAGAACAGTTGAATATGTATCATAAGAATGTTTTAAGCTCTGAAGAATTTAATATATTACTTTTGCAAACATAGCATTTAGAAAAATATTTGGTATGCTGCTGTTGGAGGGGAGTAAAAATGGTCTGTAACTGATGATTGTCCAATTATTTTTCTTTCAGTACAACAACCATGAAATTCGTTCTGGAAAACACATTGGTGTATGCATCTCTGTTGCCAATAATAGGCTTTTTGTTGGTTCTATTCCTAAGAGTAAAACTAAGGAGCAAATTGTTGAAGAATTTAGCAAAGTAACAGGTAAGTCGATAACTATGTTTTGTATAGCTGGAGGGATGTCAAACATGATCAGTGATGAACTCTCTTCGCCATCTTTTGGCTTATGGCTGAATGATGCTGAATTCAAATTAAGACCACTTAGCATTTGTTCTAACCTGGTTGTTTTTATTTTTTTCCAACTGTTGTACTGAGGGCTGAAATATTTGTGATGAGACTAGATTTGTGTTTCCAAGTTTTACCTAGAGAAATAAGTGTGTGATGTTTAAAAAAAGCCATTCAGAGAAACAGAGGGTTTAATTATTTCAATCCTAATGGATGTTTTAAAACTTCTCAAGGCAAAACTGAAGCAGGTTGGATGTAACTAGTTTTGTGCTTCAGAATTCCTAGTGATTTGATAAGGATCTCTTTTTAGTAATTGCATATACACTGGCAAAGGTAACATTTGATGGCTTTCTTTGTTACTGAATGATATACTTTAGTTTCCGTGGAGCAGCACTGAAACTTTTTAGATGTCTTAAAACCATGCAAGTTTGACCTTGTTGTTTAGACATCCATGGAAAAAACACATGCTGAGCAGTAGGGTGACTGAAGGGTTTAAGAGGAGAACTGACAAAACATAAGTTTTGGCTGCCCTTCTTTTCTCTGCTCAGTTAGAGGAAATGTGCTCTTCCATAACTACTAAGCTTTCTTCACTTAATAAAGTGAAACCTAAGTTGGGGTAGTCTGTCTCTCTCTGAAAATTTTGGTCTGGAAGGTAGCAAAATTTTAATGTGTACATGGTCTCAAAAGTCTAGTGTGTTCCTGCTTTTTTGGAACCACTTGTCAGATGCATACTTACAAGAAAGTTAATCCCTACCTTATAATACAAATTCACGTATTGAAGCCGTATAACAAATAAATATTTTGCTTGATTTTAGAGGGTCTTACAGATGTCATATTGTATCATCAGCCTGATGACAAGAAAAAGAACCGGGGTTTCTGTTTCCTTGAATATGAAGATCACAAAACTGCTGCCCAGGCCAGACGTAGGTTAATGAGCGGCAAAGTGAAAGTCTGGGGAAATGTTGTTACGGTTGAATGGGCTGACCCTATAGAAGACCCAGATCCTGAAGTCATGGCAAAGGTAATAAAGCTATAAGGGAACCATAATACATTTAAAGTGCCTTGTTCAAAGTAAGTACTTCCTGACATTGGCCTAAGTTTAAATAGCATCTTTCAGCCCTCTTGACAGAGGTGTTGTAGGTGAGATGATAAGAATACACTGTGTAATTGATGAAATTTTAAACACTCTTGACTGTTGTTATTTTGTGCTCCCAAGGCTGAATGTTGAACATGGTTCTTGCCAAAATGTCGTGTAGACCTGATGTACTTAATTCCTCATCTGGTAGTGGTGGTGGTGACTCTCAAAGTTAAAATGGTTTTGTAGCTTAATATTTGGAGGGACAGAAATCTAGATATGATCACAGAACAAGCCTTCATTCTTTTTAACCCTGGAACTGTGTGTTTATCACTTCAGAATTGGAACCTGTCAGTAAGACACAAAAGTATTTTCAAAGTTGCCTGTAGCAGTTGCTTCCGAAGTTAGTCAATTGCTTTCTGTTTGGTACTCTATTTTTAATTTGGGAGGTGGTTAATGTCTTCAAATATTAAGACTAGTAATATTTTGGATTTCAGATACTTCAGTGAAACTGAAGTCTGACTTGTTAACATTTTGAAGTACGTTGTACCGGTTGTTTTACATATGTGTGATATTTTTCTGGAAATGAATTACCTGAAATTTTTTTATGTGATAATGCCCAACCCTGTCTTTTTTCAGTTTTGTTGTGTAGCTGAGTTGTTTAATGGAAACTCCTAGCTAGCCCATATCCTTATCTTTTTCTCTTTGCTTGCTTTTTGTCTGTGCTTTTACTCTCATCTGAGACACGTCACTTGCTGGAGTCCTACTTTGATGGACCTAGTAAGATAGCTTGGCTGGGATCTCCTCTTTGGTGAGCCATAAGGGAAAAGGGTTGGGGTGGGGGCTCATTTTAGGGAAAAAGCTGCTTTTGTAATACAGGTATTACAGAAGCTTTTGGACTACCCTGTCTGCAGACTTTATTTTTCTTGCCTGGCATCATAGACTTACCAGCAGTGGGGATGAGTCTTGCAGGTAAAATTTGTCGAAGGTGGCACTTCCTAAATATGGCGGCCTATCTGTTCAGTTTCTTGGCTCAAAAGAGAAGAGACCTAATCCAGCAGACTTAAAATAGATAAAAAAGCTGACATGACTGAATAGATGAACAGGAAGTAATAGGGGACATAATTGGGTATCTTTCCTAAGTGAGTTTACAGGTGTGGGGAGTGAACAGCTAAGTAAGGTACAGCTTGATAGTGGTTTGCCCCACTTAATGTACAGTTTTTTGAATGTGTTAATGCCTGGAATTGTTTTGTATTTGAAATGGGACATGAAAAGGGAAGAAACATAAGTATGGAAAATGTGCATAAGATCAACTTGTATACTTCTGATGCCATATGCCAAAGATAGGGCATGGAGCTTGGGTTGAAGACATATAGAAAAGTGAGACTATGTGAGAATGCTGAAAAAGTAGAGAATGTCTAGCTTGTGTCTGAAGGCAGAAGTTGAGACAAGCATTGGTGTCTGTCCTGTCTCACTGACTGTGTACCTTAGTTTATTCTTGCAACAAGGAAGGTCTGTCCTCGCACCTTGCTTGACCACTTACTGTACATTTGGAGAAACTCTGGCACTTCTGGAAGTGTTAGGTTTACTTTCTGTTGTTTATTGCTGTCTTTCTCCTGAAAGAAATAGCAGCTGAGCTGCTGCTGCAGTCGGTCTCCCACATGTGAGCTGAAGGCTGGCTGTCATTGCTTCTGAGTTCTGTCAGTTGGGACAAAAGGGACAGCTGTTGACCCTTTTTGTCTTAGACATCCTGGTGGTAGAAGGCTCTGAAGGAAACACTGTGAATAAGAGGAGTAGGTTGCTTTTATCAGAATAATAATCTGAGTGGCAGTTTTCTTGTCAAGCCTGCTAGAAAAGCAAGTCTGTAAGAGCAGACTATGGGGAAGACAAATGCACCTTTGTAACCAGAAGATGAACAGTGGTGTTCTAAATACCTTGCAGAAGCAGCTTGTCATTTAATGAATATATGGACACCTACTAATTTAAATTTCTGAAATGTTTACTTAAGCCTTTTTTCCTTTCTCTTCCAGTCTTTTGCTTACATGTTATGGAGAGTACTGTATGGATGCATACTTTAATTTTAAATGGGCTGTTACTTTAAATATGAAGTACCTTGAGCATGGTGAGGTAGAAGGGTAGATTCTGAAGTTAGACATGTGTGCTATAGATTAGTGCTTGTACTGACACATTGGAGTGTAGTTGGTTAAGTAATTGATTTCTGGTCCAGCGTGAACTTCTTTCCAACTTCCGGTAGCTGTGTTGATAGCTTAATTTCTCTGAAGTGTTATTTTGATACCTCTTACACCTGTAGTGCAGATAAATTTCTTAATGTTCTACTTGATTTCTGTAGCATGGCTGAGGCTACAGAGGACACGCTGGAGTGGCAGGTTAAACAGCTAAATAAAGTCTTATGCTTGTAGCTGCCTGGTAGATTACAGGACAGGAGACAGGGCTAGTAACCCTTAGAGAATGTGATAGTAAAGTCTGGAGTGTTCGTGCTGTAGGCTTAGGAGGAAAAGGAGCAGATCCCAGAAGTTTTGGGGTAGTAAAGTCTTAAGCAGTTTTAAAAGCAGGTTCTGCCTTTACGACAAAATACTGCTGCTGGGTATATTGCTTGTTAGGTGTGTATTTATGGATCCTTGGTGGTAAACTCTGTTGAGCCTTAATGATGAGGACTTCTTCCTTTATCTCCTCCCCTCCCTGCCTTTATCTCCTCCCCTCCCCCCTAAGATTGCTTAAATGAAGTAAAAATGGGTTCATCCTTATCTCACCTATGCTTTAAACTGCCTCCTAGCTTTGACGTCTTCTTTGGTTCAGCTGTGCTTTTAATCTGTAACATGACCAAAAGTGTTAAAAAAATTTAGCTGTTGGAGATTAATGGATTTATCTACACTGGAAACAATTTAAATTAGTTGTTTTTTACTTCTTTAAAAATGTTGTGTTAGTAGGTGCATCTTGTAACAAAAAAGTGCTGTTTTTTTAGGTTTTTAATAATGTCTGACACTGTGTCAGTTAGTGTGGATTTATTAGCAAAGGCTGCTTAGGGTTCCTCATGAGATTCTAGTTTTTGTCCTTTCTTGAAGTACAAGAATAAGGAACGTTTGTTTGAAAGTTCATGTTTTTTAAAACCACTGATTACATTATAAAACTTCAGTAATTCATTTTAATGACATAAAGTTAAGGTAGCAATTAGGATAGTTTACTAAAAATTATTTACATGTGGGTTACAAGAAGTAATGGCTGGTCTTACCATCAAGGCATGTAGGAGAAGCTTAACATAGTCTAGGAAGCAACTTTCCTCATGGAGCTCGCTCTGACTTTCGTCATCTGAGAATCAGCGAGAGTAACTGTTGCCAAAGACTAGAGTTGATAGACTGGCTCGTCTTTGTGGTCTGTAGTATCCCTTCCTGCAAACTCTGCGTACTATCCTAGTTTGGCTAGTAGGTGAGACAAATATTTATGGAAGTGTGTCCCGTTTATTTGTAACGGAATTACATAGTGATTCTTATAAAAAAGGTGTCGGAGTTTACTGACTTTGTGTATATGGTGGGAGTAGAGATGATAGCTCTGCTTCAAAAATTGAAGCATGCCTTCTTTGGTCCCTTCATAGCCTGTGTTACTTCAGGGTTAGTAGTGGGAAGTCGGTGCTGCCATGTAAAATGTTCGCTTTTTGTTATCAGCTAATTTGAAACCACTAGTAGTGGAGGGGGTGTGAGCAGAAGTTGCAGGTCCTTGCAGCTGATGTACAGCTGCATTGTAGGAAGGTAAGACTGAGCATTCTTTGGCAGTAGGAGGTGACTAGGCTCTCGGGCATGGTGGCAGTGTGTGGAAGGGACCCTCCCCAATAAGTCAGAGGCTTGTAAATTGTGAGAACTCATGGGTGACATCATGCAAGCATGCTAATGCACAGTTGTTTAGTGCAACCTCAGTGTGGTATGCAAGGACAAGTCTTTGAATACTAATGGGTCACTAACATATGTGATTCTGGGTGTCCAGTGTATGTTGTCTGCTATATTTAATAAGAATCTAGTTCAAGCCTTTGCCAGACTGCTCTGTATTTTTTTTTATTATAAGCAGGTGGTGGTTGATGAAGTGATATTGATGATTTAGTCAGTATGAGGCAGTTAACTATGGAGATATGCCCTGTTGAAAGATAACTGACCTCTCAGATCTTAAGTGCGTAGCAGTCTTTGTGTAGCTTAAGAGCCGTATTGTATGCTTCAGAGAGCTGGGGGAGGGAATAGACTTTCAGAATTATTTGGGAGGTGTCTGTTCCTCATTCGTCAAGGGAAGGACACAGTTTGACTTGTGAGAAAGTCCAAGGGTGACTTGGCAGTGTCAGCCTTCTGTCTGCGTTCTGTCTTCTAGCCGTGGATTCAGGTCACTGAGTGTTCCTGAGGCAAGCACAAGTCTGGATGCTAGGTATTTGGTGTAGCTATAGCATGAGAGCCACAAGTTAAGCAGCTTGAGAGCTGCAAGCGGGTCACCTCTGACCTAGATATTATAGTGATGACTGTTCCGCAAACACCTGAGCAAAAACCTGTCTAAACAATGAATGTTTTGATAAGTTAATTATTTTGTGTGTAACCAATCCTGGTTGCTTTCTTTCAAGTTTTAAAATGTTCTGAGTTGACAGTTGCTGCTGCTAGGATTCTTTTAAACATTAACACAAATTGGATTGACTCTCAGGATACTAATACTTATGTAACCATGTTTGAAAACAGATTTAATATTTCTGTCAGGGAATTTTGGAGCTAACTCATGCTGTATGAATATATATATTGTATATATGTAAATATACATATGCATGTATATAAAATGCTTTACAGAAAACGTAGTGATGTTTTCAGTACTGCCAATAGTAATGACTTGCAAAACTTCATGTTGTGTTTTGGAATTAGAACTTCTAAGTCCTTGTTTGTTTGGTTTTTTTTTAAGGTAAAAGTTTTGTTTGTACGCAATCTTGCCAATACTGTAACAGAGGAGATACTAGAAAAGGCCTTCAGTCAATTTGGAAAGCTAGAGCGAGTGAAGAAGCTAAAAGACTATGCTTTCATTCATTTTGATGAAAGGGATGGTGCTGTAAAGGTAAGTGAAGAGGACTGTAACTGTGTGTACATGGAAGTAGTGACAACATAACACTTAGAAACTGTATGCTTCTTTTAACTTGAGAAAAAGCTCTCTCTGGAGAAATGGTGACTGGTAACTTTGATCTCGGGGTGTCTCCTAGGAAGATGCAGTTGCTAGATTGAAAGGTGTATCTTAGATGCACCTATCCTAATTAATTCTGCTGATGATGATAGTCAGCAGAAGATAATCATATGTGTTATCATATTCAACTTCTGGGACTTCAGTTTCATAACTCTTCTCACCAAATTATTGGTAGAATCTAAAGCAGTTTCTCTAGGGCAGGTGATAACAACTTAGGTAATCTTGTTTTCCAGGAAGAGAATAACTTTTTTATGGTGTGGAATAAGCACCTTTTCTTTTTGATGAGATGTGCTGGACAATTGAATAGTTGTCATTCCTGGATTTTGCTAGCCTGGTCTTGATGTTTTTTTTTCTCCTGTCATCTGTCGTTAGGAAGAGAAAGTGTAATTCTTCCTGCCTATAGTGTATCTGGTTTTTATGTTCTGTGGAAGGATGCAGGATACGTCCCTCTGCAGGGGAGGGGTTTCTGTTTTTCTTACTCATCCACATGTCTTAAAGCAGATGTTTAGGAAGATGATGGAAGGAGTCTTTTCGTGGGATACATATCCTGTCAAGGCTTAGCTATGTAGAGTCTCTGAAAGCGTTAGAATCTTTAGGATTCTTCTGCTTGAATTTAACTTCTAGCAATTACTGTGACCCATGGGAATTTACATGTGTGTGTGCTGGTGAGTTTTTTGTTTTTGGGTTTTTTGGTGGTGGTTTGATTTGGGGGTTTTTTTGTGGTTTGAATGAGACAACTAAAATCCTAATTTTTGGCTTCTGGTTTAAAAAGAGTTACCTTTATTACAAGTGAAATAAAGGAAAAAAACATAGACTGATTTCTAGCTTTAGTAGTGTTTGCATGTGTGCTGACATTAGAAGCTTATTCCCTTATTGCAAAAGCTGTACTTTCAGAGGACAGTTCCATCACTTCATTAATTGAAACAACTTGAAAAGATTTAAGTTTATTTACAGTTTTGAGTGGAAGATTTCTAAACTGATACATGCAGTCCTGGGTTTGAGAGCCAAGTTAGGAGGAAACGCATAACTCTGGAACCCATGATATTATGCTGTCTGATTATTTTAAATTTTTTTTTTAGCTTTATATTGTTGTTTTAGCTCTGGCTAACAAATTTTACAATGCATACTCTAAAAGATAGAATAAAATTAATAACTTCAGATATGCTTAGAAGTATATTTAAAGTCTGGTTAATTCCTTTAGGCAATGGAAGAAATGAATGGCAAAGATTTAGAGGGAGAAAACATTGAAATTGTTTTTGCTAAGCCACCAGATCAAAAAAGGAAAGAACGGAAAGCTCAGAGACAAGCGGCTAAAAATCAGATGTAAGTGTAAATGCATGCACATGTGTTGTATTACTTCTGAAAGACGTGTACGCTCCTACAGAATTAGAACTTCTGGGTATTTAGTAGGTATACTATAGTGTATGCAGCTTTTTCTGGCCTGAAAGTGTTGGATTTATTAAAGTTGTTTGCATTTTACTTAAGATCTAGTAATGGTGTTGGTGAGAATTCAGGTGCTGTTTTGTTCTGTGCATTGAGTGTGAGAGCACCATAGGAAATGTTTGAAGGTCATGAAACATAAAAAGCAAGAAGTGTGTATTCTAAACTTCCACATACTTCTGCTCTGATATGTCCATTTGGATGAATTTAGCAGTATGTGCTGCTCCTAGCAGGCTTAGCAGAACTGATACAGCCAACCCCCCACCCCCGTTTAGTAAAGTACCTGCTGAAAGGAGTATCCTGACGTTCTTTTTTGATACTTCCAGAAGTTAGATCTGCTCATGAAGCTTATAAACCCATACTAATAGATTTCTTGCACTAATAAATGCTGAACATGGCGGGGGGGGGGGGGGGGGGGAAGCTATTTCTTGCTAGTGTGTTCTGCTTAATATTCTCATGTGTTTTTCTTCCTGGATATCTT